TGTGCGTGTGTGCGTGTGTGTGTGTGTACAAAAATATATATAATCTTTTAATTCCACACATTCTAGAATTATTGTAAAGATTAATTTTAGTTGCAGTAAAAGTGATCAACAATATTGTTAGTATTGAAGTAGTCCAAGAATAATGTTGATTTTTTTTAAAGACTTTTCAAAGATTATTTCCAATAAATATTGCAAAAAGATTATAAATGTTTATCTTTAGGAGATGAAAAGAAGAAAACAGATGGAAGCTGCAGAGAGAAGAATCGCTGAACAACAGAGTCGAGGTATCAAAAATATCGAGGCTGTTAAGAGGCAAGAAAGATTAGATCAATTACGTGAAAAACGTCAAGAAGAAGTTGGAAATAGGAATGTGGAGAGTAATTTGAGGGTGAGATGTTTAATTTTTGAAAACAACGTTATATTTAAAAATAAAATACCGGTAGTTGATAGATTTGATAATTTTGCAACATTTATTTGATCAGATTGAAGTAAATAAAACTGGAAATTAAAATAATATTACTTACATGGTACGTTGTAAAGTAATTATTCTTTTTTTTATTTCAGTGGCAAGTAAGTTAATGGCTTGGATGAGATTATTTGCTGTAATGTTAAGCTTTTTAAAGATATTATACACAAGTAAGTTAATATAATGTACAAAATGCGTGATATTGCTTCTTCATTGAGTAAAAGAAAAAAAAATAATAACGATGCTGCAGGTGTGCATTTTTCAAAATTTAAGTATTTAAAGATATATACATTTGTATACATAAATGTGTGTACATCTTTTTTTTACGTTATATTTTATATAGTGCCTTAAATATTTATATTGATCGTACCAATATTTTATATAATATATAAAAAATGTAATTATATATAAATGTGATTAACGTACATGTGTCATGAAAATATATACTATACTATGAATAATTATCATTGTATCTGATATATTTCATCACAATGTTACTAATATTTTTCATCGTGTATACACACACACGCGCGCGCGCGCGCGCGCGTATGTATTTCAATTTAATTAATATTTTAAAGTAATACGTTTTTAATGTCTGGATAAAATATAGTTACACATTACCACATTCTTTATATTCTATTATTTATATCGTTGAATATATACTTTTACTAAAACGATATTTATGTATGTGATATTCAGTATTGTGATATATTTATTTATACAACACATTTGACGAGAAAATTTAAAATGAAAATTACTTTCTTGAAAAATTTCGTATATAAACGTTATAAAATACATAGATGGGCTAATGATACATGGATTTAAAACTGATTTGTATTTTTTATTTTCTGTGATATGGCAGACAGTGAAAATAATTGTTTGGAACGATTGCAGTGTCGGCTGATTACGATAATGGTGTGTAGTGTAAATGTCGCTGAAGTGTGAATGTTCAATTGAGCGTACATATTCGATGCAGATATAGAGAAAAAAAGTCCATCCAGCAGGATGGCACAGGAGCTGGATAAACATGTCTCTCTTTTTTGTTCACTGTCGTTCGATGCTATATACGGTATATTGTTTATACGTGTGATATTGTTTAGTGAACAACCGCTTACCTTTCTGATTGCACCGAATCTATGAGAAATATTATTCTACACTCTTTTCAGTTCTTGCTTGCGTGTAAACGAATCATCGAGACAAGTCAGAAACGAACGATCCTACGTGTGACTGAGCGAACGATATTTGTACAACGCTCTTGCAAATATAGTTGTGTATTGGACATTGATAAATACATACATAATTTGCATAGAGTTCACTCGAGAAATATGAATCCGATGTAAACGTAAAAAAAAAAAAAAAAAAAAAAAAAAAAAAAGT